CTGCACTTTTCAGATAGGGAAACTGAGGCATAGAAAGATTAAAGGGGCTTGCCCAAGACCTTACAGCTTTTGGGTAGCCAATCTGAGGGTGTTACTGTGCATTTTTCTTGGACACTTTTAAAGAGCAGAAGTTTCCAAAGCAGGCAGGGCTGACTCTTCAATGGTGGAATTCTCCACTCATAGTAGACACAGAAAGAAATAGTGTAACTGTCGACAGGTTTTGAAAAGCCTGAACTCAGCAAACAGACCACATTTGGTCTGCCCATATTCATTCGAGTCATCAACTTTGGGTTCCACTGTGCCGTTGTAAGGGAGTCTAGTAGCTTCTGATAAGGGATGGGGATCTTCTGTGTGGCTCCTTCCCCACCATTGATGCTGACATTCTGGCTCCTGAATACCCATTTCACTGGTACCAAATGGAAAAGCCCCTGGAGTGGAAGGTGGCAAGAATGAGGGAGAGGGTAGCTGGTGGGGCTCTCCAGATTGCCCTGGTTTGTCTCTCCCAAGACTAGTTTTCATGCCCAAAGGAATCTCCTGGCTCAACCCATGCGGGGCTACAATTCCAGTTTCTTCTTTCTTTGGCTTCAGTGCTTTCCAGCTCCAGTCTCTTGAGGTTAGAGTGTATGTGACATGGAGAGGAGACTGGGGCAAGGGGTGGGGAGTTGAGTGGAGTGGGTGATTGGTAATATTTTCCAGTTCTTTCTAAAGTGTCTGCCTTCCCTTAATGGATGCAGAAGTGAGCCAGCCAGCTGACTGCCCTGACTGCAAGATTGGTTACTGCTTACATCACTTGCAGCCAGACTGGGGACAGGGGTGGGGGAGGTGGAGGAGAAGCTGAGCAGGGATTAATCCAGCCCTGAATGAATTGACAGACAAAGGCACTGGAGATCAGGTAAACTTTTTCCCAAGCTCATGCCTTGAGGACATGGAGAAGAGCCAGACAGTTCCATTAGTGCATGCATAGTGTTCTTTGTGGGTGCTCTGCCCTTTATCAACAGTTCAGTTCCATTCCATTGCACCCTATGCCTCTGCGGTCTGTAAGCTTTGGTTGAGAATCAGGAATGTCTCAGGAATATATTAGTGGAGGAGTGATATAGAGAGATCTAAGATTAACAGCCCTCTTGGCATTCCCTTGTAGTGGGGGACAGCAACCTACATCAGTTAGCTTTTGCATGATGAGCTACCCCCAGAGTTAGTGATGTGTGACAACATTCCTTCATCACTGTTCCAAGTCTGCAAACCAGCAGGGCAGTCCTGCCGAATCGGATTGGGCTCTGTGGCTCTTGGTGGCACTTGCTCAAGTGTTTGTAGGCAGGCTGATGGGCCAGGCTGGGTGACTGGAGCCTTTCTCTGCATACTCTCTCATCCTCTCCCAGGCAGACTTGGGCTTGTTCAGGTGGCAGGGGTAGGGTTCCAAGGAGGCAAAGGGCAGCCTGCACAGCCCCTAGAAGGCAGGCTTGGAATACATGTGACATGTTCTATTGGCCACAGCAAGTTACAAGGCCAAAGCCAGCAGTGGGGAAGAGCTCCAGCTCTTAATGGAGTAGGGGAAGAGAACTGTAGACATTTCTGCACTCTGCTTTAGATAAATGTGCCCTCACTATGCACAGAAAATGAATAGTCTTCTTTTATTTCTCTTATCACACATGCCTATGGCAGGGTGGAGGAAGAGTAGTTAAGTCTGACAGGGGTGAGTGGGATGGGACAGAATTTGAAGACAACTTCACAGAGCAGGAGGTCTTAAAGGACAAATGGTATTTCAGCAGGAGCAAAAACACACACCTCTTTCTCTTTCTTTTCTATTATTTTCCTCTTGCCAGAAACACACAATGGGCCCAACTATTATGTAATCTATTTGCCAGGGATTTCAAAAGTGACGCTGTGATGGCTCTCATCCAAGTACAAACCAGGTCGGGCTCTGCTTGGCTTCTGAGATTGGGTGCATTCAGGGTGATATGGCTGTAGACAGTGATCCCATGGTGTAGAATCTGCTTTCTGCATCTGGAGGCAAGATGAGCTCCAGCCAGAGCTTCCAGGGGTTAGAAAAAGGGAGGGTCCCTGACTCACATTTTTGCCAAATTATAATGCTTCTTTCCTATCTCTTGCCTCTTCCTGAGCTCCTCCCCTATCTCTCTTTCTTGCTGTGATTTCTAGTGGGTATAGATCTACGGATGGCAACAAGGAAAAAGGAAAGGAAAAATTGTTATCATTCCATTGCCAACGGAAAAAGAGATCAATTTATTTCTCGCATTCTGTGGCGGGGTCATGCAGATACCCCACACATTAGTATGTGAATTCTGTGTTAAGTGCTTAGCGCAGTTTTGGGGGCAGAATATGTGAATCAGTTAAGTAGCGCGAGGGCAACAGAAGTGAACGTAATTGTAATTATTGTACTTAATGAGTCATTGGAAATGGAAACATTATTTGAGCAGACTTCTATCTTAGTAGAATTTGCTGATTTGGTAGCATACTTTACTAATAAGATCGTTAAAAACAAACATTCAGATTTTAGAATTGTCTTTTCTATGATCCAGCAGTCTCACTATTAGGTATTTATGCAAAAGAAATCAGTATATCAAAGGAATATCTACATCCCGAGGTTTATTTGAGCACTAGACAAAATAGCCAAGATATGAAATCAACCCGTGTCTATCAACAAATGAGTGGATGAAGAAAATGTGATACATATACATATCTGTATCTGTATGATATATATTAAGTTGGTGCAAAAGTAATTGTGATTTTTGCCATTAAAAGTAATGTAACACACACACAGACACACACACACATGCCCAGAATACTATTTGACCCTAAAAATGAAATTTCCTCATTTGCAGTAAAATGGATGGAACTGGAGGTCATTATGTTAAGTGAAATAAGCCAGATACAGAAAGACAAATATTGCATGTTCTCACTCATACGTGGGAGCTAAAAGGTGGATCTCATGGAGGTAGGGAGTAGAATGCTAGTTACCAGAGTTTGGGAAGGGTAGGGAGTGAGGGGAAGGAAGAGTGGTTAATGGGCACAAACATATAGCTAGAAGAATATGTTGTAGTACTTGATAGCACAGTAGATTGACCACAGTTACAATAATATGTTGTACAATTCAAAATAGCTAGATGAGAAGATTTGAAATGTTTACAACATCAAAGAAATGTAAACGTTTGAGGTGATGAATATCTTATGTACTGATTTGATCATTACACATTATATGCATGTATCAAAATATCACACATGCCCCATGAATATGTAGGTTGTTATGTATCAATAAAAAAATTTAGGACCAGTTGTGGTGGCTTATGCCTGTAATCCCAGCACTTTGGAAGGCCAAGGAGGGTGCATCACCTGAGGTTAGGAGTTCAAGACCAGCCTGACCAACATAGTGAAACCCCATCTCTACTAAAAATATAAAAATTATGGGCATGGTTGCACATGTCTGTAATCCTAGCTACTTGGGAGGCTGAAGCAGGAGAATTGCTTGAACACAGGAGGGGGAAGTCGCAGTGAGCCAAGATCATGACATTGCACTCCAGCCTGGGCAACAAGAGTGAAATTCAGTCTCAAAAATAAATAAATAAATAAATAAATAAATAAATAAATAAATAAATAAATAAAACAAGCAACTTTCTGTTTTAGCACATGCATGAGGAACTTTCTTGACTAGAGGGGAAAAAGTTCCAGGGGAAACCTAGTCTGGGTCTGGAGTTGGTCCTCCTCCCTGTGAAATCTACCCTTGGAGAAATCCTCTGTCCACATCTCCACCTGCAGGAGGATGCCCTCACCCTGCCCTCACGCTGGCAGCTGTTGGAGAATGAGGGGAACTCTGAGAGTGCAGACTGTTTTCTTATGCTCCCCAGTCTCTGTGGCCAGAAGTACTCCTTTTGCAAAGAAAGGTAGTGCCTCATTAAACCTGGCTTTTCTCTGTCTCTGCCCTGTCTTTGAAGGTCCTAGGGGCCTTGCACATTGCTTGCATGCCAATCACGGAGTAGACTGGGGCCTGGGACTTTAGGTGGGGATTCTGTTTTGTTCGTTCCCAGTCTGGAAGATGTGGTCAAGAGTGGAGGTTCTAGATGGGAGCTGAGGTGGTTCTAGCTACCTCCACCCTTATGTGGTTCTCAGACCTTCTTCCTCTCTGTTCTTCATGACAGAACCAGTGTCTAAATCTGAACTTGTTTGGTGGCAGAGAACAGAAACATAGTTCCAATTAGTGTAGACAAATGAGACATTTCTTCCAGAGACGTGTAGGGCACTGAGATGCCTCGTAGAAATAGGGGAAGAGCTGTGACAGTCACTGTTTGCTCTTCTCTGCTGATCTGTGCTTCCTTGACTGCTGATGAATTTTGAGTACTTCCCAGAGGCTTTCATGTCCTAGGAGCCGCATAATCACCAGGTGTCCCTGCTTAGCAACTTCTGCAGAAAGAAAATCCCGCTAGAGCATTCTTTGCTGCAACTCAGGGAAAGACTCTCAGTTTCTCTACTTGGGCTACATGTCACTGCTGCCTAAATACAGACCACTAGGCTTTGTTTGTCCTCAGTCCTATGCCCACTCCTCCAAGTAGCAGAAGAAAGAGGATGGGAATGTTTGCCAAACAGACAACACTCAAAAAGTACTCTAGCAGGCATAAGACCGAAGGAGGAGGCGATGTGCTCCTTTTCTCTGTTATCACCAGAGCCCGTCAACATAGTTGGTGTCTACTCTTCCTTCCATGACTGATGGGTATAAGCCAATCATTGACGTTCCTCCTCTCCTTGACAATGATTGGTTTAGGCACAAGCATGTGATGTGATCCTGGCAAATATGATGGAAGGAGGCTAGAAGACTTCTCAGTCCTTAAGAAGGCTAATCTTTTTTGCTGGCCACTGTCCAGTCTGTAAGGGATGCCTGGAACTGTTGGACCCAGCCTACAGCTGTTAGGACCTCTCTTTCCCAGAGAGGGAAGCTGCGATGGGCTTAAGAGTGATGCCTTCCCCAAGACATGCCTATCCCACAATCCCAGCAACCCACGAATGTGACCTTATTTGGAAAGGGGATCTTTTCAGATCTCATTAAGTTAAGGATCTTGAGATGAGATTACTCTGGTTTATCCAAGTGGGCCCTACATCTAATGACAAATGTCTTTCTAAATGAAAGAGAGGGATTTTAGACAGATAGAAGAGAAGACACAGATAAGAGGAGGAGGCAATGTGACTGCAGAGACAGAGATTGGTGTGATGAGGCCACAAGTCAAGGAGTGCTGGCAGTCACCAACAGCTGGAAGAGGCAGAGAACAGATCCTACCGATTCCAGAGCCTCCAGAGGGAGCATGGTCTTGCCAACACTTTGATTCCAGACTTCTGTCCTCCTAGAATGATGAGAGAACATATTGCTGTTGTTTTTAACCCACGAAGTTTGCTGTAAGTTATATAGCAGCCACAGGAAACTAATACAGTAGCTCTACAGACAGGACCATATGCCAGGAGCTGTAAGGATCCCAGAAAACCTGGACCAATGCAGCAGGGAGGGAATGAGGGAATCAATTCCCAGCTTCCCCTTTCTTCATTCTCTCTGACTTCCAGATAGCACCTCCCACTGGCCAAATCCAAATGAAGACCGTAGGGCAAGGGACATCTTTTGATAGGGTCCCTAGGTGTTGGCCTCCTGAGACTCAGCAGGACGGAGAAGGTTGGACTTGGAGGGGCAGGTAGAGCTCCAGCATGTGCCCCATTGCAGGCAAAGCACGACTGAACTGTAAGCATTGATCAGCCATGGAAGGATGAGGTGCAAACATTTCCATGAGATCTTTGTGGCAGGAATTAGTGCTTTGTGTAGTTGAGAGGAAAAAAAGATGTCTGGAAAAGCTGGTGGAAGAAGTAGAAATTTAGGTAATGTTTGAGTGGTAGGAGAAAGACGGTTGGATGATCCAGGGATGGGAAAGGGATTCCTTGTATATATCTACATCTATATCATCTAGATCTATGTATCTATAGCTATATATCTGTGCTTGGAAGATAGCTAGATATCATGGTGGAATAAGAGTATAAAATAACAGCATGTGCTTATGATGGGGAAATCAGGTGGGAAGAGAGAGGAACTGAGGAACACTAATCTAATGTGGAACTTTGACTTTTTTTTTCAGATTTCTGGCATTGTGGCAATCAACAATAGGGTCACTGCTACCCCATGTAGAGCCCTAACCATCCCTTCTACTGACAGGTGAGGACAGCCCCATAAGATCTAACCTCAGCGTCTAGGAGTACCGCTTCCCAGGAAGGTGGTGAATGAGAGTTGGGGTCAGTCTTATGTTCTCTGGATGAGAAGACACAGGGCTCAGAGGATAGAATTTGGGCTGGATGAATTAGAGGGACCTGTGGTCATCATCCCAGAAGCAAGTTGCCAGGCAGGGTCTGGAGGTGTTGGACTCAAACCCATCATAGCCACTGCCCTATGTGGTCCTAGGCAAAGTGTTTTGTTTCCCTGTGTCTCCCAGGAAAGTGGCCACAATGAGATACTTTCTATCTATCTTGAAAATACTTTGTTTGATAAAACCAAATAATGGTAAATAAACTGAGGGAAATAAACGATAATCACTAATTTATCAAACTATCAAAAATGATCTAATTACAAAGGAGGGAAGAGAAAAAAAAGGCCAGGGAGCTGGAAGGTACAGAAACAATGTCAGTGTGGACTAAGGAGAGACAAAAGCATACACATTTATTAGAAGAAGAGATAACCTTGCCCCCCTTTTCACTTCTGCTCAGGAAATTTTGCTTCTCTTTGCCTGATAATCCAAGAGGGAGGACCAGCATCTCCATGGCATCTCACTCTGATTTGTGAAGATTTGGCCAGAGAAATTGTTCTCAAGAGGGTGAATTACATGACAGCTTCTATTTTATGGCACCTTGCTATCCACTTTGTAAGGCATGAGTAACAACGACAACAACAACAAGCAAACCAAATTACCAAAGCACATAACAAATTTGTTCAGTCAGTTACAAAATACACCTCAGCCAGAGAGGTGGGCATCTGACTCCTGGAGGGGTCCTTCAGCCTGTGGAGTATTCTTCTGTGTGCCAGGTTTCACAGTAAGCAGAGGCTGCCTCTGAAATGACCAGAGAACCAGTGGGTTGTAGTAGTTTGCATATGGGGAGAAAGGGAGAGAGAAAGAGAAAGAGTGTGTGTGTGTGTGTGTGTGTGTGTGTGTGTGTGTGTGTTTGGCTAAATGTCATCTGTGTGTCTGCATGCAATACTATGACAATGAAGTTGGACATGCTTCTATGTGTGAGATGGGGTCTGGCCTTGGCAGCAAGGGGGTGTACGTGTGGGTGTGAGTGATAGCGGATTCAGAGTCCCGGCCCAGGGCCCCTGGGGACTGTCACCTGCAGGACTCATCATAGAGGAGACCAGGTGCTTGGAGTCTCCCCAAAGCAATACAGAGTGCATGGTCATGAGTTTGAAAAATATTCCTGTGAGAGATATAAATAAAGACTCTAAGCCCAAAGCCAGAGTTTTAGAAAGCCAGCCTTACACACAGGATAATTTATAGCTGCTGCTGTCTCTTCCCATGCATGACTCAGCTCTCCTAGCCAAAATAGGCCTAGCCTGCTCCAGTAACCTTTGCTGAAAGGGAAGAGCTGAAGCAAACTCCAAGAAGCCCAATGATCCAACCACCCAGCTCCCAGACTAGCTCCTGCTGAGCTCCTTTCCTCTGTTCCCTTTGGGCAAACTCCAGTGATGACATGGATGAACAGATCCTGGAACCTGAGAAACTGGAGACTTAGGTATTCCCAGCTGACTGGTCCTTGGAAGTCTATTAAACTGGCTCCCTTATACCTTCAGGATCTTGGTGGATTCTGCTACCCGCACAATGGGCATTGGCTCAAACACCCTTCCCACCACTCCCCAGCCTGCCTTCCAGCTATTGGGAGGCAGCAAAATCAGAACAAAGACCTGCTTGAAGCTAGATAGTTTTTATCAGTCTCAGAGACTCTTGAGCCCAACAGGAAGAATAAAAATGAGAGCATTTTTCCCTTTTATTTGAAAGACAGTATATATCCAAGTCAAGCGCCAAAAACTGGCTAAAAAGAGGGATAAATAGTGACATGCTTAAACATTGTGGTGAATTTGTTGGGGGAGACAGCCTGCAAGGAATGAGGTTCCTTTTTTCAATTTTCTCTCTATATTCCCCCTTCCCACCGACCTTCTTTCATATATTTTTAGCAGACTCTTTGGTCAACCATGTCAAAGAGATAGCTGCAAGCACAGAGAATGCATACCGAAACCAAAGGATATTTCCCTTTTTTTTTTTTTTCTTAAAAATCTTCCAGGAGTGTGGAAAGGACTGGAAGTGCTTGAAGGTCTTTTTAGCCACATGCCTCACCCCAACTTGGATCTGGAACATTTTTATGCCAAGGCCCATATGCCTGACTGCCCAAGTATAGGGGAAAAAATAACATTCAGGGCTTAAAAAAATAGTTTAGCTTTTTGATTAAATTGCTAAACAGCCTTGAATCAAGTATTTTCTTTCTGCTCTAGCAGATGTGCAACTGGCCTAATTTTAACTCAGGATCCAGCACATAATAGATAATGTAATAATTGTTGAATGGATGAATAATTCTTTAACTCTGTAATGAAGTGTCCTCATTCAATCTGCATTTATTAAGCCTCTCTGTGTGTGTGTGGGGTGTGTGTGTGTGTGTGTGTCTACAAGTGTGCATCCTCAAAGGCCTTTTCCTGCAGTAACATTCTATAATTCAGTGACCTATATTCTGAGTAAGTCATATGCTGATACTTTGATGAATCTGGGGGAAGGAAGTTTCAAGTTAGCCAAGTTAAAACACACATACACACTACACTTCAAACCTGCACAAACCTACTTCACAAATGACAGAAAGCAGAGGATCTTGGCAGCTGCATAGCTAAAACCGCAGAATTTCTGCCTGGTCTGGCCTGGCCTTGTTGGAAATGCACAGTGCCTACTCCGGATCCCACAGCTCAGTCTTTTGAAGTTCTTTTGTTCCTAGTCTCCTCTTCTTTCTGATCTTTCCATTCAGGAGTGATCCTCCACATTCTCAGTTTCTGAAGACCCCCTGTTCTCCTAGTCACCCGTGTCTTTTCATATCTTAAAAATAACAAAGGCTGTGCATCACTCATATGTGCAGATTGATCTGCACATGTGGCTGAATTCAATTTAGAGATACTTGCATGTTTTAGGAAGGTAACAGACTAGCAGAGAGGTGAAGAGACTCCCAAAGTTCCACAGCCATTGAATAGCAGTAATCTAGCATATTATTCTGATCTGACATTGATCTGTAATTATCAAGTGAGAGCTACAGATACAATTCCACAAGCCTGCCAATTAGGAGCCTTGGAGTGGCCTTGAGACTGAGTCCAGCCAGTCTTTCTGCCCTTTTGATAGCTGATTACTCCCCTTGGATCTATACGATTTGGTTCAGCTTCCCATGATTTCTTCTACTCTATTTGGGATATTCATGCTATATTAGTAATTTATAGACCTGGATGGGCCCCCCAGATGTCATCTGCTTTCTGAAGTTCTCAATCACCAGGCAGAATTCCAGCCCCAGCAATCCTTGGTTCTGAAGGATATAGGGTCGCCCTTCAGTAAGAAAACCAAGTTACATTTCTGCTTTTTCCTCCAGAATGAGTGGCCCCTTCCGTTGGGTTTGCAACATTTCCTCTGGAAGCCCCCGCTTACTGTAATCATCTCCAGGTCTTGGCTGAACACTTAGAGATTCAGAATACCATTTTGGGTACAACAAGGGTCTCTTAGAGCTAAAAAGATAGAAACTTTCATCCCACTGATTAGGGTTGGAAGGAAAACAAATACGTAGATTTTGTTGCTCCAATGAAACAGATCTCTGTGTCTGCACAGCGATGACAGGGAATGGTCTTTGGTCTCAAACAGCTTGGTTCTGACCCAATTGACTTGGAAGATGGGCTGCTCATGAGCACTGCAGCCCATGCCAAGGTCATGGGGACAAGTACACGTGACCATTCCAGGGAAGGAAGATCTGTATTCTTTGGAGAAAATTCAGATGAGTGGGGAAGAAGAGGAGGAGGTGGCATGCAGAGAGAGGGGGCATCTTGTTTTGCACTCTCTCCTCCATCTTTGTCACCCCTCCCCACCCCCTGGTTACTCATGCTTCCAGGGGAGCTACAGTGGTTGTTCTCAAAATAAGGCCCCAGGACCACAGATCTGTCAGTGGCAGAAGCAGCCAGGGCCAGACCAGGGCCAGGTGATTCTATGGCCTGTTTATACCCTGTAACCAGAGCCTGTTCTCAAAGAGGCTTCCTGACAGCTGTGGAGGTAAGGGGATGGACCAACACTTCCAGAGATTGAGTGACCCGTGCTGGTGTCCATCTCAGGGGCAGTTTAGCCTGATAATTTTCTCGAGCCAGGGGATGGGAATGGGAAGAGGTGGAGCAGTTTACCAGTTACTGCTCATGGTGGCGGGACCTTGGAGCCTGCTATTGAACTTGTATGCTCCCTCCAGCCTCTAGTCTGCCAATGGGATTGCTTTCTTCAGGGTCAAGGCAGGTGAGAGAGGAGTTCTGCATGTCTCATTGGTTTATTTTCCCCACTCTTTATCTGTGTCATTACAGAAGCAAAAACAAACACATGGTGAGGCTCTGGGTCAGCCAGGATTCTAGATTCTGCTGCCAGGCACATCTTTCAAGGTAGAGTGCTTGTCTCCTCATCCCCACCCCAAGCCTCTCCTCAAAGGTCAGCCTTTCTTTCTTCTCCTCAGCTCTGGGAGGCAGTAGCGGGGACCTTCCTCCACTCAGCCCAGCCTAGACTCCCGGCCAAGAGGCTGGGGCAGTGAGCTCTCCATGCCAGGGTCTGGTGAGGCTGAAAATTCTTCAAGGCAGGTCATCTCATAGGCCTTTCTATAGCTGTGCCCCGACCCCCTGTCCCCTGCAATTCCATATCTTCATTTTTTGGGTCAGGCTCCCTCCACCTTCAACTTTCTTTCTTGTCTTTTATAAATTGTTCCTGTAGCAGCTGCTCCTGCCCCTACCCAGCCCCTAGTCCTGGGCGCCCTGGAGAGTGGGTACACATCGTATCTTGGCTTCTATGTTCGCACCTCTCATGATATTTGCCGATGGTTAACGCGTTCTTTCCTTTAGTCTCCTGCTCTCCACCACTTTGGCCAGGGTTGGGGGGGCGGGCAGGAAGGGAGGGGCAGATTTAGCTCATGCTGGCGCCTAGCCCTGGCACAGCCCGTGACCTGCTGCTCCCAGGGCAGCATGCCAGTGCGCCCTTTTACTGTCCTGGCCTGTCTGCCTTCTGATGGCAGCCTTGGCAGGAGTAGGGGTGGAGCTCATGGGATTGGATGGGTTTGCTCGACAGCTGCCTCAGAAAGGAAAAGGCGAGGGTGAGACTAAAGGGTATGGGGAAAACAACCCAAAACAAGGTGTAGAGAGTTGGAGATCAGAGTTCAAGTCCATGCAGTGTCACCAACCAGCCGTGAGAACTTTTTAAATTATGAGAGTCTTCATAATTTAAAATGGGAATGATGATAATTCACACTTCTTTGAGTGGGTATCAGAATCATGGACATCGGAGCAGGTGGTCTAGGGCACCCCAACCGCAATTGTGAACATGTGAAAACGTGTCTTCTGCTTGTCCCATAGTAAGTCACTATGCCTTGTTACAAGCCAACCTGAGTCAATCTGCTTGATCACAACTGTTGGGTACTTTTCAGCGGTTCATGGTAGAGCTTGAGTTGGGTGAGGTTAGCTGTTCCTTCTCATCCCTGCCAGCATGTTCTAATGAAAGTGAGTCTCAGACCAGATTCGTCTCTATGATTATTAAACAAGCATTCATGATCAAACAGGCATCTGCTTCGATAGCTTAAATGAGTCCCTGATCACTGTCCCTGTAGATCCTCTTAC